TTAGAGCATTCATAAAGTTTTGGGTTCAATCACAAAAAAGTATATGTCACCTAGAAAATAGACTCAGTTTAAAAAAATATATTCTCCAATGCAAATAAAAGTAGACTAAGTCCTGCTGATGTGGGAGCCAGAAAAAGAGACTCAGTCTACCCTTAAGTCTATTTTAGACCCAAGTAGAAGTCTCTTTGCATTGGAGTGGATTTTGTTAATTTTACATAATTTTATCCATGTTATCAAAGACTTGAATTTATTTACATGCCATATAGACTAGACCCAATGCATTGTAGATGCTCTTAGAATATCACTTGTGAGTTGTTTCATATTGCTTCTATAGGAAAAATGAGTCTAGCCATAAGTCTAGTGGATTACTCCTGCAATCGCCAATTGGTTTTGGAATGTAACCTCACTAAGGTGCACCTAGACTCACCTCTTATGGTGGCTTCACGTGCATGAGACTGCACACGTTTCTCCTGATTCTTTACCCTCACAAGTGAAGGGGTGTGCCCTCACGGTTCACGTGCATGGGACCGAACCTTTTTCTCAATTCTTTCAGACTCTTTACCCAACCTGCTCAATGGGCGTATTATAATATCACTTGTGAGTTGTCCAACATTGCTTCTATAAGAAAAATGGGACCGCACCCTTACCAAGATTCTTTCAGACTCTTTAATTACCTGGTCTGTTCTGTGGCGTTTTAGAATATCACTTGTGAATTATCTCACATTACTTTTATAAGGAAAATAGGCCTAGCTTATAAGTCTAGTGGGCTACTCCTCCCATCATCAATTGGTTTTAGTGCATCTAGGCTCACCCCTCTTATAGTGCGCTTCACGTGCATGATACCACATCATTTTCCCCAATTCTTTCAGACTCTTTACCCAGCATGCTCTGTGTGCATATTAGAATATCACTTGTGAGTTGTCCCATATTGCATCTATAAGGAATGAGTCTAGCTGATAAGCCTAGTGAGCTACTCCTCTTATTACCAATTGAATGGTCCTACTTATAAATTTAGTGGGCTACTCCTCCCATCACCACTTGATTTTGGGATAGAACTTTCACCAATTGATTTTGGGATAAAACTTCACGAAGGTGCACCTAGACTCACCCTCTTGTGGTGAATATCACTTGTGAGATAGAACTTTCACCAATTGATTTTGGGATAAAACTTCACGAAGGTGCACCTAGACTCACCCTCTTGTGGTGAATATCACTTGTGAGATAGAACTTTCACCAATTGATTTTGGGATCGAACTTCACCAAGGTGCACCTAGACTCACCCTCTTATGGTGAATATCACTTGTGAGTTGTCTCACATTGCATTTATAGGGAAAATGGGCCTAGCTAATAAGACTAGTGGGTTACTCCTTACATCATCAATTGATTTTGGGATGGAACCTTAGTAAGGTGCACCTAAACTCACTCTCTTATAATGCGTTTCACGTGCATGGAACCGCATCCGTTTTCCCTGATTCTTTCATTCACAAGTGAGGGGACGTATTATTCGGAGGGGGCGTATTATTCGGTACCTTCTAAAAAAAGTGAGGCGGAAGAAAAAAGTGCGGGTGCGTATTGCAATATACTTGTGAGTTGTCCTTGATTTTGGGATGGAACCTCACTAAGGTGCACCTAGGCTTACACTCTTATAGTGCGGTTCACGTGCATGAGACCGCACCTGTTTCTCCCGATTCTTGCACTCACAAGTGAGGGGGCGTATTTTTCAGTACCATCTAAAAAAGTAAGGCGAAAAAAAAAGCGTGGGTGCATATTACAATATCACTTGTGAGTTGTCCTACATTGCTTATACAGGAAAAATGAGCCTAATTTATAAGCTTAGGGCTACTCTCCCATCACCAGTTGATTTTGGGATTAAACCTTCCTACTCCTCTCATCACCAGTTGATTTAGTTTATAAGCCTAGGGCTACTCTTCCCATCACCAGTTGATTTCGAGATAGAACCATACTAAGGTGCACCTAGGATCACCGTCTTATAGTTCGCTTCACGTGCATGAGACCGTGCCCGTTTCTCTAGATTCTTTCACACATTACTCCACTGTAACAATTATTAATTTATTACGACATAAGTATTGATTTATTAGTCATTTATTGTCAATTATAGTTATATTTTTTTATCCTCTATTCACACTCTTGTATAAATAATATTTCTGTCACTTCTAATCAAGTTGTAAATTTTGTTGTGCCTCGTTATTTTTATTATACAAGAAATGGTTTGGAGCCTAAATTGTGTTTAGTGTTGTTAAATTAAACAAGCTTGGCTCGGCTCGATAAGGCTCGTTAAAGCTCAAAAAGAGAATTTTTATACAATTTTTTATAGTTCGGCCCTCGAGTTCGACTCGTTAAGGCTCGAGTTCAAGTTCGAGCTCGAGGCCTTAACAAGCCGAGCTCGAGCTCAATTTTTGGCTCGTTTATTTAACGAGTCGAGTTCGACTTGACTCGGCTCGTTTACAGCCTTAAATTGTGTTCCTTACGGATAAGTGTGCTCAATTTTGGTTATAATCGAAAATCGAAATGACCGATCAAAATATAAATTCCGGTTTGATTTTTTTATATTTCTTTTTTATTATTGGATTTTGACTTTTAAAATTTGGGGTATTTTAATTGAGCTTTGGTTTCATTTTTAAAGTAATGAAATAACCGAACAGATCGAACTATATTAAAAAGTATTTATGTTTATATTTTTTGTATATATTTTTTTCAGCAAAATAAGATAAAATATTAAATAAAAATATTACAAAATTAAATATATTTGTTTATATTATAAATTTGTAACTTATTTTGGTTATTTAAAATTTTGGTTATTTTAATTCAGCTTTAGTTTTATTTTTAAAATAATAAAATAACCGAACCGACCGAACTATATTAAAAATATTTATTTTTATATTTTTATGTATATATTTTTTTTTTGTTTTCAGAAAAATATAGTAAATAAAAAGATTACAAAATTAAATACATTTTTTCATATTATAATNCTTATGAATTTCAGAAATTGTCATATCAATCAAGTGGTGTTCCATACAGACCTTTGGCACCCCAAAATGGTAATTGGGTTCTATAGGAAATGCTTGGGCTTCATATGATCTCTTTATTTTATGGATACCCAACACATGTTTTTATTTAAATGGATTCATTTTATTTGGGCTAAAGCACACATACACGGACATGATGTTTTCAAAATACCATTTACATAAAAGAAATTTTTCCATGTTCAATTTGATGCTATCGAAATATTTTTTGAGAAAATTACACCATATATAAGATATTTCTCATTTTATTATATGAATGGAATCAGTTTGTAAATATTGGCAATATAGCAAGATCTATTGTTTTTATTTGCATAATTACCAGAAATCTCTTATAACAATAATTTACATATTCAATCAATAATTAGTTTACTTTATGGAAAACTTATCACCTTCCAAAAACAACTCCCGAGGTAATTGGAAATAATATTCTCTCCCACGACACTTTCTCTCTCTCTCTCTCTCCCCCTCTGTCTTCTTCTTCTTCTTCTCTCCCTCTCTCTCTTCTTCTTCTACATGTTCACTCTTACAAATTTCTCTCCCTTACAGTTGAAGCGACCCACAGTTTGGATAAGCGCGGGGTCGACGGATCGATGGATTGGCAGACTCGCAGGGAGTAAAGCGACCCTACTCCCCGATTGGCTACCACCAAACCTAGGAGGCGCGCTGGCCCTCCAACGGCCCAAGATAGCGGTTTGTTGGTGGAGGTGATTGGATGAGGAGATGTTGAGACGGTGAGACCGGCGGCGGCTCCGTCGCTGGTGGCGGTGTGGCGAAGCGGTTTTTCGGGGGTAGGAAGCATTATTGAACAAGGTTCTTAACAACGACGGGGGGATTCAAATAGAAAAACCCGACGTTCGATGACATGATCGAATTGTCCCTCCATTTTTAATCAGTCTCGCAATTTCTTATAGATGACAAAGGTGAGGCCGAAGCTCAAGCTCGTTACGATGTTGACACTATATGTTGCGTTTATATACAATATATTTCTAATATATGTTTCCATCGGTGTTTATTCAATTGATAGACTTCTGATTTTGTGATTTTGTCAAAAAATTTTGGCTCTTATTTGGAATCGCCATCTTGTGATTTGTGGCAGTTTTGAGTTTGCATTAGAGGTGTTTAATCGTTGTCCTTTACTTTACATTAAACTTAGTAAAGTGTATTTTAATTAAAAAATAGATTGAAAGAAAAAAAAAAATTGAGAAAAAAATTATGCTCATAAACAACGTCCATAATAAGAAAATGTCATATATATATATATATATATATATATATATATCTAAAATATTTATGGATAAGTTCAAGTACAATTATTTAGGTTGGAAGGAAATTAAAAGCTATCCCAATCAAATAAGGTAGCAAAAAATTTTGTCTGTCAATTAGATTTTTCACATTCAAAAATTATATAAAGTGGATTTTCATACATCAATTTCTCTGTCATTTAGATTAGTCACATTCAAAAATTATATAAGGTGGATTTTCATACATCAATTTCTCTGTCATTTAGATTAGTCACATTCAAAAATTATATAAGGTAGATTTTCATACATCAATTTATACTGTTAAATGATTCATCGCATTCAAAAATTATATAAGGTGGATTTCCATACATCAATTTCTACTTCAATTAGTCAGTTGATGCGCGAAGCGAGTGGAAATGATATGGATGATATCTCAATACCAAACTATTCTTATTTTTATTTAATAATTAACTGAATAACACAAAAGAGAATGAGTATTTCAAATAAAAATTTTAAAATCCTAATATTAACTTGTCCAACAAGACAAGAATCCTAACAAACTAATAAATAAATAAGTTACTAATAAATAAATGTTTTCTATAAAATCTATAATACCATACCATAATAAAAATAAAGAATGAAACAAATAATTAAAATTAAAGATTTTAAACCTCATTACTGTCAGTTTTCGCAGTTATCCATAATCCATAAAATTGTTTGTGTTCAAGATCGGCGCCGATAATTAACGACGGATTTCACAAAATCTCGAACCTCGAAACCGGACAGTTCGAGGATCACAAGGAGCTTGTAGCAGAAAGGTGGGATTAGTTTTCGACAAGGTGAAATTTGGAATGGGAGTAAGTTAACACGTTTCACCCAATCCAAATACTGGGTGAAAATATATACGTCATCATCTGAATCTTGGTCCCTACCCATTTATTCTTCGCTTTTATCACCATTGTATTTGTATGTATTCTCTCAAATATCTTTTCAGAAAATTATTTAATATTTTCCTCTTTCAAATTTCAATGCACCTTGTGTCTTTTTTTCCCTGATTTTAATATTGTTCGCTACTTCACTGTGCAGCTTTCCTCCGATAAAAATTATATATTCAGATTTGAATAAATTATAAAACCCACCCACCAAATCAATCCCCAAGAAAAATTATTCAGCCAAAGATTTCAACTTTGGCGTGTAAACAGTGCATCGAGCGAGTGTTCGGTCTATTGACGGAGATCGTGATTTGTGGGTTCTACTTGTGCGATTGAAAAAGATGGGAAAGGTGGCGGTGGCGGCGGCGGTGGTGTGCACGGCAGCGGTTTGCGCGGCGGCTGTGGTGGTGGCGAGGCGGCAGATGAAAAGCTCCGGGAGGTGGGCCAAGGCGGAGGCCATTCTGAGGGAGCTGGAGGAGAAGTGCGCGGCCCCCACGGCCAAGCTCCGGCAAGTGGCCGACGCCATGACGGTGGAGATGCACGCGGGCCTCGCATCTGAGGGCGGCAGCAAGCTCAAGATGCTCATTAGCTACGTTGACAACCTCCCTACTGGGTATTCTACTACGCCTATTGTTTCATACTGTGTTTCTTTTTTTCCCCTCTTTACTCGATTAGATTTGATTGTTGAATAATTATGTGTTTGGGCTAATTGTGCTTTTGATTATTCAATTTCATTCTCGGATATGAGTCTGCGGAGTAATTGTGGAATTTTGGGGTGTTGAAGAATAATGTCTTGTTCAGAAATTTGTTGAAATTGCATCCCTTTTCTCGTCTGTTTCAATCTTTTGCTTCAGATCTATTCGGTTGTGTAATTTAGTGTTCATAAATACATGCGCATGTGTGTGTTAATTAAATAAATTTACTGACTGATTCATAATTTTATACTGATCCAAATTTTGATACTCGCCTTCACAATCATGGAAATGACATCTTGAGGAAAAAATCTTGACTTTTTTGGCGCGGTTCACTTCTAATTTTCTTTATTGGATATTAAATATTTTTGTATGGATATAGATAAAAAATACTGCTGTTACTCTGCAGAAGCCGTATTGCCATAGCAATATAATCGGACGTGCAGCTGTATGTGTGTGCGGTGTGCGTTGTCTATTTGTATCTCAATTATTGTTTCAATTCCGTTGATTAAGCACGGTTTGCATCCCCTTTGATTAAGCACTTTTAAAAACACACTTTTGGAAATTTGGATTGAAACTCTATTTTCCAAATAATAGATGTTTGGTGGTGAGAATGAGCTCTCACTCCCTCCATATAGTCCAGTTTAGAGAAGTCGAATATTGGAGGCTTTTTGAAATACCACTTATTAAGTCCATTTTATAAATGGACTTCGGCAGAAAGTATGCATACAATGTCAAGGCTGTTCTTTCGTTGTCTCTGTAATTGAAATATTTCCAGGTAGGTCTCTTCTTCATTCGGAGCCATGAGTCATTTCATTGTCATCATATTTGTCTTTACATCTTCCTGTGGTGTGGTATGAATAAGTCTGTTTACTTTATGTCAACATCAATCACATAATGGCTAGGTCTTTCAGATTTTGGAATACAGGTGTTATTTAATTGTTAAGTCAGACATGCTCCATTTTCACTTTTAAGGGTTGTGTTGAGTTGCTTGTACTTTTTCGTCTTCAAACTATTATGTTAACAAGAACATGTTACAGAAAACTGAGAATATATATAGTGGTGATACGTCCTTCTCTGCTAATTCACATTTTCTTAATCTTTGGGAATCTTAGATTCATATTTGCATGTCAGAATTCTACTTTCCTCTTTGGAACTGCATATTTGCACCGGACAAAAAGATCTGTTGTGATCAAGAACAAATTACATCTATAATGCTGCCCCTTTTTACATATGTAACAGAGTGAATGATGCGTCATTCATAATTACAACTTTCACCTTTTCAGTAGATGACCGAATTCCCTCTTTAACTCGTACTAATTTTAGTGTAGTTTAAACCTAAGTCGATAAATGCATCCCCTGAGAAGTTGTGTACAATATGATATTTATTATTGTTGCTTTGGGGCTTTCATGAAATGGTCAGCATGCAATTGTTCTTGCCTGTAACAACTTGCAACCTTCTTTTTTTCTCCACATTTTGTTATTCTATTAAACAAATCAAGAAGCCTCGTGATTGGTGCACCAGGAGTCCAAGACTGACTCCTGCTATCCTATCCTTAGGGGAGAAAAAAAGTTTTTTCTTTTATTTCTTCTCCCCTTCTTTTTTTATTATTTTCAACTCTTGGAAATGGAATTTTAACTTATTTTAAGCATATGAATCCTCACTTTTCTGTTCAGGGACGAAAAAGGATTGTTTTATGCATTGGATCTTGGTGGCACAAATTTTCGTGTTATGCGTGTTCAGTTAGGTGGTAAAGGAAGTAAGCCCAAACAAGAATGCGAGGAGGTCTCTATCCCGCCACATTTGATGGTTGGGTCATCTCATGTGAGTGTGTATATTCACGTAACATATTATGCCAGCTTGCATTTGTTGCAAGTTTTTTCTGATGTTCTCATGGGTTATGGTTCAGGAATTGTTTGATTTTATTGCTGCTGCACTTGCGAAATTTGTTTCTAAGGAAGGAGAATGTGAAGAGTTTCATCTCCCACCAGGCAAGCAAAGGGAGCTCGGCTTTACCTTTTCGTTTCCTGTCAGGCAATTATCATTGGCATCAGGAACTCTTATAAAGTGGACGAAAGGCTTCCTTATAGAAGATGCGGTTAATCTCTTTTTAGCATTTGTTTTGCAGTTAAAACATGATTTTGACGTTATCTTGAGTCATGACTGTTTTGTATTTACTATTTAGACAACACTAGCAATCCAGAATGCCTAGGGGGTGATTGTTTATGGATTCAACTAGTTTTTATTTGGTTTGTTTTTTACCTATAGTTAACTTTGAAAAAATGTGGTATGGTTAGTTGTTAGTGGATATATTAAAATAATATTTAATTAAAATAATTAAAGTTGATTTGATGTAAAGTGTGAGAAAAATGATTGGAAGTGATGGTTAGTTAAAATTATGAAGTGGATGAATAGTGAATTAAGGTTGATGTGATGTGTAAGAATGATTGGTTGATATTATTTAATTATATTGATCATATGGGAGATAGTGGGGTTGGGTTAAAGTTGAGTTAAATTTGAGTTTTGATTGGTTTTTTTATTGTACAGACAATAAACAATCGCCCCCTTATGAACTTGTAGTTTTAAGTACGTTTTTAATTTACAATTTGATGGTCATTAATGCCATAGCTATGATGCTACTTCTCTTCCTATTGAAGCATATAGGTTTATGTGGTGCTGTTGGTGCTGAACTGTTTCTGAATGCAAGTGCCTATTTTCACTATGCTGAGTATCTTAGTGATTCATTAATGGTTTCTTTTGTCTTTTTTCTTCTTTTCTTGGTTTGCGCACTTCAATTCAGCTTCTCAGCTTGTTGTGCATACTATTGAGATCGATTCTGAGTCGCAATATCATAGTTCTTACTATTCTCTTGTAATACAAGCGAGATAATAAATTTATGTCGATGCAATTTTTTCCCATGTAAACTACTGCGATGGTTAAATATAATAATAGAAGTTTTCAATGTTTCTTTTTTTAATTTTGGAACATAATGATTTAGATGATTGTGAATGTTATGCTTAAGATTCTAATAATTTTTTTTGCATCTTATTAATTGTTTTGCTTTTGAGTAGGTTGGAGAAGATGTTGTTGAAGAGCTGGTGAAAGCAATGGAAAGAGCCAACCTTGATATGCGCGTGGCTGCTTTGGTGGGTTAATTTTCTGTTACTGTAAGATGTTTATATATTATACATTTGTGAGCAACACAATACGTTGGGTGGAACTTCTTTTATTTACAATCTTCCCTGTAGGTATATAAAAAGTTAAGAATTTCAAATCTGAAAATGGTAAATTCATCGAGTCCCCAACTCGATGTATTTTTAAACCCTTAGTACAACTATCCTCTACTCTTTTTGATATCGTGGAATTATTTGATATCCACCCTCCAAGCCCTCTCCTCAAATCCAAACCCTGTATCCTAAAGTGGTGCTTTATTTTCCTCCTCAGTATGTTTTATTATAAACAAGCAAACACATGATATAGACCGTCTAGCAGGTCTTCCATGCGATAAAGCTGAAAATTTTGTTTTTGGAAGTTCATTTTTTCAGTTTGTCTGTTTTTTCACCGTTCTTAGTTCTTTTTGTTTTTTCCTTAGGTTTCTTTTGGTTTTTAGTTATTTTATATTTTTCTAGAGTTTTCCTTTTGTTCACTCATATAAATATTTTGTGAAAAGGTCCATACATGAGTCTTCTCTAAATAAAAACGATCTTTTTTTGCAGGTCAACGATACTGTCGGGACATTAGCCGGTGGAAGGTATGACAATCCAAATGTGGTTGCAGCTGTTATACTCGGAACAGGAACTAATGCAGCTTATGTTGAACGTGCACATGCAATTCCTAAATGGCAGGGTTTGCTACCTAAATCGGGAGAGATGGTCAGTAATTTATATACAGCTTCGGTTGGGGCCATTTTCGGAATAAAAATTGAATTTGACGGTGATTAATTCCTTATTATTGGAGGTTAGGTTATAAACATGGAATGGGGTAATTTTCGGTCATCACATTTACCGCTTACGGAGTATGACCAGAGTCTTGATGCTGAGAGTTTAAACCCTGGGGAACAGGTGAATAAATGCTCTCTTTTTTATCATGATTAAGTCTTTGTTACATTTGATGCCAATATTTATTTTTTTTCTGTTGCAGATTTTCGAGAAACTTATTTCTGGAATGTATCTGGGGGAAATTGTTCGTAGGGTTTTGTGCAGGATGGCAGAGGAGGCATGCTTTTTTGGAGATAATATCCCACCAAAACTGAAAATTCCCTTCATATTGAGGTAAGCAATAACGTTTGACTGTACACTGGAGAATGAAAATATAGAAGTCACTTATCTGTCGTGCGTTTGTTAACTGAGAGATGGAAAAACAACAAACGGAGTCTCAGTATCTTTGCATGCCTTTCTAAACCCCAGTGAAAATTTCACTTGATTAAATCATTTGTGAGAATCTTTTTAGAAGGAAAAAAAAAATGATTATCATGATTGCCATTCAGGAGGATATATTGACTTTTCTCGTATATTCATGTGGTTTGAGCTGAACCTCTCTTTTGCATGCAAATTAACATGTATAAGCTTCCGCATTACGGTTGAGTTTTTGCACAATGCAGAACCCCAGACATGTCTGCCATGCATCACGACACTTCATCTGATCTCAGGGTTGTCGGGAGCAAGCTAAAGGACATCTTGGAGGTAATAATAATGATAATATTTTATAACTATAGTTTGTTTGATTTTTCTTTCCCTAGCTCCATCACATTTTTCTTTTCTTTTATTTTCAGCCCATTCTCATAATTATATTTTGTAGATATATAGCGACGCTAGAAACAATATGCTTAAACTAGACTAGTTAGAGATTTTTTTTTCTCTTTCCTACGAAAAAGGTATATTTAACATAAAAACAATTTAAATCATATTTGTAATGACTAATTGATTTTCCTTTGTCCATAGGTGCCTAGCTCGTCGCTGAAGATGAGGAAAATGGTTGTGTCCATATGCGACGTTGTGGCCTTGCGCGGGGCCCGCCTCGCGGCTGCTGGCATTCTCGGCATTCTGAAGAAGCTCGACAGAGACAACAGCAGCGAGAAGTCTGTAGTGGCAGTTGACGGTGGGTTGTTCGAGCACTACACGAAATTTAGGAACTGTATGGATGCCACTCTCAAGGAGCTGCTGGGAGAAGCAGCAGCTAATAGGGTTGTGCTCGAGCTCTCAAATGATGGCTCGGGAATTGGGGCTGCTCTTTTGGCAGCCTCTCATTCCCAATACATTCAAGCCGAGGAATATTGATGAGATATGTTCATTTTCCTTTTTTTTTTTTTTTATTCGTTCTTTTGTTTTGGCCGGGATATTTTCTCGTATTTAGCATATAATATGTGAGCCCCTAGACCTAGTCGTAAATTTAGATTTTGCGTCGTGTGGGAATAAAATGCCGGGGCTTTGGGTTTGTTTTCGAACTTGGGAACAGCTCGGTTGGTTGACCATTTAATCATTTGAATTTGAATCTCGTGAGAGTTGGAAAACTTAGTCTGGGATCTGATCTGAGGGATTTGAATGTTGTACACTTCCCGAATTAATGAATAAGTCCCTCCGTAGGCAAGTACTTTTATGAGTGTTGTATTTTAGTTTTTCTCCAAATGAAATTCTGCTCCACCACCTTGTGAGTAATTTATGTAGAAGCTTTCAAGTTCCAGATTATCTTCACGACTAAAGTTAGTAATTTGGCATCTCGTGTAACATGGTCACCACGTGGAGGAATCAGTAGGAGAGGAAAGCCGTAATTTTTAGATAACGGCTCACTCAGTCGAAGCAAATGTTAATTTTTACACCTTCATTACAACTCGATTCACATTTGCTTCGACTGGTGAGCCGTTATCTTAAAAATACCGTTTTCCTTTCCTACTGAATCTTTTTATACCTTCATTACGACATGCGAGTTGACTTGCTTGACTTTGTCGAGTTAACAATATTTTTGATAAGGTGTTACTTTTAATAATAATAATAAAAAAAAAATACTGTTCCTTGTTAATCTTTACATCTATATTATTGTGTTGGGAGGTATAAACAAACTTATGTGGATACAATTAATCCTCTATCTAATTACTATGATCGTAATATAAATTCTTTACACTGTGATAATGTCGATCTTACTCTGAATGTACGACCTCAACTCGAACACATGAGGGAAAATAGGATCCCATCACGAGTTGATGTTCCGGTTAGAGTAACGGTGTAAACGTTGTGGTAGTCATGGACACAATCGATGTATATGCAAATAACGTATTTAGATCATCGCACTGTGTTTTATTTAGTCTACTAGATTTAAAGGGCTTTTGTTCTTGGTCAAGTATACTTTGTAAATGTTAGAATATGTTTTTTGATGACACATTATCGACATATTCCGAGTATGTATGTATGGGTATTTTGCGTGTAATACTACAGTGCATTGAAGTACAAGTTGATGTTTACTACTACTGTTTTGCATGAATTTTATAACGGATGCTTGATTTTTTTTCCTATATTCTTATTGTGGTGGATCCTTATATGCTTTTTCATTATGTACAAACAGTTCTTGTTCCTTCTATGAAGTTAACTAATAAATACTCTTGTATGGTACTTGAGAACGTCAAACCAGGTAGTCTCATTTTGCAATACCAATATCATTTATAACAGGTTTTTGTTCGTTCAATAAAGTTGGTACAAATTGTCAATGCATGAGTGTTCGTGAAAGTCAAAATTGGTATCATCCTTTTGCAACACCAGTATCACTTTATTAAACATATTATTAGGTAAAATAATTCTTGTTCCTTCAACAAAGTGAAGTATGAAATACTACTACATGGGTACTAGAGAAAGCCAAACCAGGTAATGTCGTTTTACAACACCAATTTATTACAGGTTTTTGTTCGTTCCAAAAAGTTGGTACTAAATGACCATATCGAAGTACTGATTTACTACATGACTAGTACTATTTGAATGCAATATATATCCGTTTTCCAAACTTAAAATTACAGTAGTTATTCATTTTTGTTCAAAATATTCAAGACTAAATGACCATATATAAATACAGGATTACTACAAAATTGGTATTGTCCCACTACTAGAAATTAGAGATTCAGAAACGGAAATTATGGTTGTTTAAGAGTCATTTTCTGTTACTAATATACAACAGAAAAAAATAAATTTTGTTTTATAATTGGTTAGAGAAAATAGTTTGGCTAATGCTCGGAAATGGAAAACAGTTCGTTACTGTTTGCAACGAGTTTTGCAACAAACAAAATCGTTTATAATAGTAGAGTAATAACAACAAAATCTGTAACTGATATATTTGTTTCTAATATTTACTACCAGCAGCTGAATCAGAAATGAAAATGTCCGTTACTAATCTATTTCATTAGCTATGATTTTTGTAATGGATCATTTTGTTCCTAATGTGTCTATATTAGCAACCATATCATTAACAAAAAAATTCGTTACTCATATTATAAATTATATACCAAAATTGTAATGAAAATACTATTTTTTTGATTATTTTTATTATTATTCAGAAAATCCAAAATTCAGTACGTTGAACTAATGTTTTAATGGTTGGAACTTTGAATACATTTTATTTTACATATATAACCATTTACAAAATAAAAGGAGATAAATTAAGATCAAAACACAATAGCAAAACAAATAGTGTTATTCATTGTTGAACATAATTTACATATTTAAATCAGCTTTCCATTACATAAAAAACAACCAAATATTTCCATTAAATAAAAAACAACCAAAATGTATTCTTTTTTCGAACAGCTTTGGAAGCAATATTTTTAATATTTGACTATCCACATGCAACATTCAACAAGATTTTTTATATTCATGGGCTTCAGATATGAATCCTTCATAGATTGGTGGACAGATCAGGTCAAGCTACAATCTATCGTGTTTCTCAGTCTTTCTATTCAACTACTCTCCCCGTGATACAAGAAAAAAAAGAATATATTATAATTATAAATATATTAATTGTACATATACTGAATTTACACATGTAATTATAAATAGCTATACAATATAATCAGACTGATACTTGTAAATGAAAAATCTTCTTATGTAATTCATATGGTGGTGGTAAGTTCAAGTCCAGACACTTTATATTTTCAATATGTATGGTTGAATGCGTGCACTTTTGTCAGGCAACACTTTCAAGATTGGCGAACTCTTCCCTTCATATGGCGGCAGAAAGTTCAAATATAGGAGTCATCCAATACTTTGTGTGGCACGACAACATTTTATTCCCAGCATCTTTTGAACCGTGCTTTCTGCAAATGAAAGAATGTGACATGAGTTGAAAACAATTCCTAAATCTCAAGGAAAAAAAAAAGATAGTTGAAGAATCAACAGTTTTTAAAATGACGGAGACGACGACAGAAGTTCGTTGTGATTGCAGCTTCGGCGACTGCGTAATGAATTGTTTTTGGAAGATTAAAAAGGGAATTCCAGCTAACTGTGCCAATTTTGGGCAAGTCAGCTACATAGAAATCTTTTTCTCCAGGAAACATTGATGTGGGGGAGAGGGACAACCTTTGTCATTTTCAACTTCTTTATGCTTAATAATAATAATATAATTTTATAAGTAATTGAAATGAACAAAGAAATGTGATTAGGGAGTGCAGAGGAATAATAATAGAGTTGAGACTGAACATAAACTTGAATTAGTGATTAGAGATTTATGTGTTAAAACCCAATTATAAAATACATATAAGATAAATTTTGATCGGTAAATACGTAATGTTTGAAATTTTGACAGATTTGGTTAATTTGTATATTTTTCTTAAAAATTACCTAATTCTTTATGTTTTATTTTTGGGAGAAAAAAATATCTAATAAATAAATTGTGATAGGTAAATTTTGAAATGCATTTAAATCTTGATAGATTATGTGAATTATTTTATGTATTTATTTTAAAATCGCCTTATTTGGAATCATTTATATTTAGGAACAATCTATTTAGTGAGTGCTTTTTATGTCAAATAATCTTTGAGTTGTTGACAAAGAATATTAAATCTATAATACGAGTGCATATAGTAATAAAGTCTTTCTAGAAAAAATATTAGTTTAAATGTGTGTTTTTTTTTTAACTAAATCTAATCTCAATTTGAATTTAAGAAAAAATATTACTAAATAAAACATGAATTCAAACGTGAGATCTTTTCCCAAATAGATGGTAAGGTCCTAAGGTGTGTAAATGATGAAAATGGCAACGAAATAAAAGAGTAAGAATAAGAATCGGATCGAGGAGCGCATTTCCCTCTCTTTACCTAAGCCCACCACTCCACAAGTGCCACCTCACACGTGGGACCCGCCGCCCCCATACAAATTTTGGTCTCGCTCGAATCTAATGAAAATGAAATTATCTGCTAATTTTCTCTCTCTAATTAAATCATTAGGAATATATCGCTGTATAAAACCACGCGCTCTGTCTCCTAGCCCGTTTTCCCCTCTCATCTCTCTCTCTGTCCAGCTGTGTGTGTTTTTTTTTGCTTTCTGTTCCATACATACATGGCGATCTGACCACGAGAGAGAGAGAGAAAGGGAGGGAGATTGGCGAAGCATTGGCCTCGTCTCATTCTCTTTCTCCGCTTGATTACGAGAACCGGCACCGGAATTGGGGTGGGCGATAGGATTTTTAAGTCACGGATATCTCAGGCGAAATGCCGACGTTTGATTCGTTGGATGCGTTCTTGTTGGCGGCCAGCAAAGCCTGCTGTAGTCCTATCGCGCTTTTTATTCAGATCCAGGTAAATCTTTCTCTGGTATTTATGTGGAGAACTGAGCAAACCGCAGTTTTGTTTGTTTTGTTTTGTTTTGTTTTTTTTTTTTTGTTTTTGCCGCACTGTGAAAATGTGCAATGCTAATACGTGTGTGTTTGCTCCCTTAGTGTTGTTGATTGGAACGGATACGTCATTTGGCTGGTTGGCTGTTGTGCTGCTTTGGTTGTTATTAGAGCTCAAATCAAAGTAGCTTGAAGAATTAATTTTCTTTTTCTTGATTATTTTTGGTTTTGGGTTTGTCCCAAATTTGATGGGCGATATGTTAATTTCGTCCTTCAGTTAGATCTAATGAGGCTCGGATACATTAACCAATTCATTATGGATAAAATATGTTGGGGGATGTTTAACCGTTGGGATCCTGACGTGACACACAGTTAAGGGGGATTGAAAAGATATATTTTTTTTGGTCTATGGTTATTTAGTTACAACTTGAAGGTGCTTTAAACTATGGGCTTTGGCAGTGTGTTGAGGAGACAAGGTATAATAGTTGAATAGTCCTCCTTGCTTGCCAAGTATCCTAATATCTGTAATTGGTTGCAGCTAAGAGGCTGAAAAATTCATAATCTTCAATAGGATTCATTTAACCGATGCACCTGATGATTTGAATAGTTCAAACCATCAAGATTGGCTATGGGTTTTTTGATTTATTCTTTTTTATTGTCATTTTCTCGATTTAGTTTTTACATCTGCAGTTTTTATCACTCCTAAAACTGCGTATCTGATGCCGGAGGAGTAGAATAGGTGGCTTTTATTGTTGTAGTTTTTGGAAATTAGCTCAACACACTTAATATTTTCTGATTCTTGGGGGCATTTGGTAGATAAAACCTTTTGTAAAAACCCTATCTTTCAAAAAGTGTGCAGAAAGTGAAACTCTGTCTTGCATCTGATTGTCTGTTACTGTAGAACTGCATAATATAAATCTGTTGGTGTGGAAGTAGGCAAGTCTACACCTCTCTTATTTCCCTGTCACCCGAAGCAAGAAAGTCGGGCTGTCACCCCAGCTATTCGCAAATTGGTTATTGTCTATATTTGATTGTATATGCTTCTAATTCTATAATGGCAATTAAAATAAGAAATTTGTTTGTGTCTAGCATTTTTTTACTTACGAAATGTTTGACTTTACATGGCCAGTTTTGAAATTACTTGAATCTTTTGTTCCAATTGCAGGGATTTTTCATTTGCTTAGTCCTTGCCCTTGGCTGGGCTTTAGCTTCTTATGTCAGGTAATGAAATTCACTGATTCATAAATTATAGCTTTTCTGCTGTTCTATTACATTGGTTGTGTTCTGTCATAGCCCTTGTTATTACGATCATCATTAACAATTTTCGCATCATTTGTTTTGCAGGAATAAAGAGATAAGAAAGATAAAGGAAAGCATAAAAAAAGGCAATAGCTTTGCTTTTCTTTGTTGGGATATAAATGAGCTTGAGCACTCTAATCAGGTCAATTTGCCAAGGGTTTCAGTTGTTATGCCTTTGAAGGGATATGGGGAACACAATCTACATAACTGGAGAAGTCAGGTGTAATATTATTGAAAGTTTGGTGCTCAGACAAATAGGCAATTCAACATGGTCCACTTGTACTTCATGTTTAACATCATTATTTGAAAATTCAGTTTATTGAGTTAACTACTGTAGTCATGCAGACTTCCATTCCATAATGCATGTAAGACAATTAGGAGATTCAACATGGTTCACTTGTATTTCACATTTTACATCATGATTTGGAAATTCTGTAGATTGAGTTAACTTCTGTAGCCATGCACACTTCTTTAACTGCAAGAGCATCGTACTGGATAATATTGTGCTACTGGCTCTAAACAAACTACTCCCTTCGCTAAGATAGTCCACATTTCTGTGTAAGGTGTACCAAAAAGATCGCACGGTTTCTTTTAGGGTACCTTTTACTTATGATTGTGCTTTCTTAAACTATGTGGTTAGTGCCTTAAACTTATATTTTTGAGACACAGGGAGTATTATATAATATAGTGTTAATCTTGGTTGTCTCCCATTAATGTATTTCTTTTTGTCTATTAAAAGCTCGTACCTTAGTATCTAGGCTCTAGAAAGTGTCTCTCAGAAGCTTAAGAAACTTTATATGTTATCAGGTATTTAGGTCAAGAATCATTGTTTTTCCAGACTTATCATTTATTAGCTGTAACGTTTATGTGGGATTTTTTTTTGGTCATGACTCACTAATAAGCTCAGAAATTTTGATACCATTAGTTTTTTCATGAGCTTGCTGGTACTGTAAGATCAAATCTATAATTTTTATTAGTTGTTATTGTTATTATTAAATTCATGTTTCCTCCTTTGATTGCATGATGCACCCCTCTCTTTGCACCTTGGTCTCCAGAAGGCCTTGCGTGTTTTTTTTTTCTTGGATAACTATGCTTTACCTTGTGGTTTTCTATTTGCAATAAGATTGGTGGAACAAATTTCTAGAACAAGGTTTAAACCAGAACAGGCAAAATCATGACTAGCTAATAGTTTAGCATTTTACTTTCCTTTTTCTTTTAGGATCTCTAAACGTTATTAGTCCAGATCATGAATGGTGGAAAACTTGAAATTTGAAGTTTGATATGCTCTTCTCTATGAATGCTGCAGATTACATCTTTATATGGTGGTCCAATTGAATTTCTTTTTGTGGTCGAAAGTACATTAGACCCTGCTTACCATGCCATCTCTCTATTGTTAAAGGATTTTGAGGTAAGTTTGATTCCTTTTTTATGGTTGATGATTGTGTTTCCCACTATTTATGATTAGAACCCATTAGCTTAGAATAATTTTGTGTCCATTTGTTCTTCAGATGTCCTTCTTTTTCTTCCTTTTAGTTCTTATCGTTTCATATGGATCTGTTCCTTGCTTGAGGATCATTATGGAGAAGATATTGAAGTTTACAAAAAATTAGGTTATAGGTATTTGGAAAAAGTTTCATGACTTAAAGTGCTGTTAGAAAATGAAAAATAAGAATTTTTTTGGCGACATAATATAAATTTTTATGCTTGGTTCTGTTTTTTGTTCATGACAAAGCTATGCTGTTCCTTGTATATTTTCAAGTGGGAACAATGAATGTTCTTTATTATTTAAACTGCAACTTTTTATTAGGATAGGGGTATAATATAGTTTTATTGGGCTTTTTCAAGCTTCCAACCATAAGCTGTGTGTCCAGTGGTGCAGTGAATTTATCACCTTCACCTAGTTTTAGCTTGCATAGATTTTCTGTTTTTCTTATTAACTATAAAACATTATAGGCTCAAGGAACCTGTCTTATGTGAACATTTTCAAATTTGCAGGATGAGGTTGATGCCAAAATTATTGTAGCTGGCCTGTCAACAACTTGTAGTCAGAAGATACATAATCAGTTGGTATAATTTTAATCTTAGTAATTTCTTAAAATATTTTATTTAAAGTCCTCTTTCTAGTATAATTTGGTTACCTTCATGAATTGTACCACGAGAGGAAGAAGAGTGCCTCGTTATTCCACTTTTCCAAGTGTGTTACACATATAAGCCATAAATTTTGTAGATCTCTTTCATTATTTTAGATTTCGGATAACCTTGTTTAATAGATTGTCCTGTATGTCTTTATGGAGGCTTTACTGCTTTACAGAATGAAGGATCTCTATGCAGAAAAGAAGCCCTGAATGGTGTATAAACTATAAAATATTATGTAACTATTAGTACCATCAATTTCTATAAGTTACTAAGAAATTGTCTTTTTACATCATAAATAAGTTCGTGCATCTTTAATTTTTAAAAGAGTTCTATAAAATTATAACTCTTTGTACCCAAAGTCATCTTCAAATTTTCAATTTTTAATATTCTATAAGACCCTATTCACATGCAATAAACTGTTGAACATTGGATGAAACAATTGGATATTGCTTCTTATTCATCCATATGAGTATCTGGTTTGATGTTGCGTTTAATGTGTAACATTACAATTTGCAGGTTGGAGTACAGAAAATGCATAAAGATAGCAAATATGTCTTATTTCTTGATGATGATGTTAGGCTTCATCCGGGCTCAATTGGAGCCCTCACTGCTGAAATGGATAAGAACCCAGACGTATGCTATTATTTATATTACAGTATATTTTAATGTACTTATCTTCGTGATTGATATTCTTCATTTTTATTTCTATTTTTAATTTTAATAAATCTTGATTTGTTGCCCCTGAGAATGTGCAGATATTCATTCAGACTGGATATCCCCTTGATTTACCATCTGGAAGTTTAGGGAGCTACTGCATATACGAATATCATATGGTGTGTTACATATTCTTATAGACAGCTTAAAAACCTTCTTATGTTCTTGACTTCTACCATTATTCAGTAAAAATTGCGATTGTATTTGATATTGTGACTTTAATAACTGCATCAATGTGGCTATTGTCCATGTGGATCGAGCACAATATATTGTTGTCACTCTTATGAGTTGATAGAAGGTGAGATGCCTCAAGTCAATTCCCGTGTATGATTGAGGTTCAGGAAAATGATTATTTCAGCATAGTGTGGGCCTTATAAGATAGATAAACATGTTTGCTTCCTAAAGAAAAACATTAGCCCATTGTCCATCAACTCCTCTTCCCTCAGTGCACAACCAAGACATTTTCAATGGTGAATGAAGTTGATTTGGAAATTATGATTCCTGATCTTTACTTTTTTCAATCCATTGTTTTACTTACTAGAAGTGAGAAAATTTCAATATTATGGCCCTTGATACTTCACATCAGTAGCTTCTTGACATTATTGAAAGGAGAGAACCAATTGCAAATGCGTATGATATATACTGAAGCAATTGAAACACTTGCATTTTAATGTTATCATGTTAATCATATTATCTCTTGTCTTGCATTTTTTATTTGTTCTTGTATATTTTATTTGTTCTTTTTCCGTTACTATAATGCAGCCTTGTTCAATGGGGTTTGCTACTGGCGGTAAAACATTCTTTTTGTGGGGAGGGTGCATGATGGTAAGTATTTTAAGGATTTAGAGATCAATTTGTTTGTATGTTTACAAGAATCTTATTATCAATTTTGTAATTGCAGATGCATGCAGATGATTTTAGAACAGATCGTCATGGTGTTGTTTCAGAACTTCGAGATGGGGGCTATTCAGATGACATGACTCTTGCAGCTATTGCCGGTATAATGGTTTTTTTGTCTACCTATCTTAAATTAAGTATATATTGGTGCTTAATGACCCCAAATATTAAGCCTCATCATATTTTTCTTGTCTTTTCCCCCATGCATGCATAGGAATGTCCGTTAAGGTCATTTTAGCTTTTAACTTCTGGAATTTTCCTGTGGGTGTTGAGCTGAATGCCCTTTTATTTGATACTTTTGTTCATTTCAGGGGCTCATAAGAGACTCATCACATCACCACCAGTGGCTGTTTTTCCCCATCCACTTGCAAGTGATCTTAGCTTTGGCAGGTTTTTTAAAAAAATTTGCTGGAATTTGATCTTTATATAAAACTTGCCACTCAAATTCCAAAGGATTAGCAAGATTAAAAGAAAAGGAAATAAAAGAAATTAAAACAAGTAAAGAGAGAGATTCCAAATTGGTCCATTTCCCTTCTTCAGGAAGATCTTTCCAAGCCTCTTTATTTGTGTCCTTGTAGGTATTGGAATTATTTAAGGAAGCAAACATTTGTTCTGGAGTCATACACGACAAAAGTCAACTGGATTATGAACAGGGCGCTATTCTCGACCCACTGCTATTTATCATGGGGATTCGTAGCTCCATATATTATGTCTGGGATACATTTGGCAGCGGCATTGAGACTTTACTTCAAAGGGTACTCAGTTGATGAAGCATCATTCTCATACACTGGTCAGTACCATTTGTCTGCAATTCAATTGGTGTTGTGTGTGTGTGTGTGTGTGCGTGTGTATATATGTATATAGTTGCAGGATTTTGTTATTGGAATACCAGCAATTTGTATTGTTGAGCTCAAAACACAAGCACTACACTTTCTTGTTTCTACTTGTTTCAGTAGTGACCGCTGTATAGTAAATTGAATTCTTTCTCGAACTTTTGGTTTCCACTTTTTTTTTTTAATTTTTTTTTTCTCATTTCTAGGATAAAAAATTTATCTTTTCACTTTTAGTTCCAGTCAGGCTCAAACATCTTATGAAGGGTCGTTTAATATTGATACAATTTTTTTTTTGTCGATTATGAATTTTCTCTTTTTTTCCTCACTCGTCAGGGCTGTTATTGGCTGGTTGCCTTGCCACGTGTACTGTTATTGAACTTCTCTCCATGTGGAATCTGACAAGAATAGAGGTCCAGCTATGCAACCTATTGTCTCCAGAGGCTCCTCCAATGTCACTTGCATCTTATAACTGGTGTCTCGTAAGTCTATTTCGTTTTTTTCTATTTCTTTGAGAAAAAAATTGATGGGGTGGTATGTATTTGAGGAAATGATTATCCAATATATCTAGTTTGCTTATGCTCTAGGGTGGCAGGTCTAGAAGGAAAATCATATGTTTATTGAATTTTAATTGTCAATTGAGCAGGTATTTATGGCTATGCTGGTTGATAATTTTCTGTATCCAATATCTGCAATGCGGTCACATTTTTCTCAATCTATCAATTGGTCGGGCATCCGTTATCATTTGAAGGATGGCAAGATATGCACGGTAATGTGTTTTTGCAATAGCTATTTTTAGTATTAAAATTCGCTTGTGGCCAATAATACTATAACAATTGACATAGGAGAACTGTTACATAGCTTTTGGTTATGCAGATTGAAAGAAGCAAGGATAAGGGACCAAAGTTCACGGATTTAGGAGGAAAGCATTTGTATGGAAGGAAAGGAGCTCCAAGCAATTATTCGTTCCTTCTCTCATTGTCCAGAAGTCTTGCTCAGTGGAGACAACCGAAGAAATATGATGTATAGTTGTGTGAGATTTTTGTATTTAGTTCGTTCGAGAGTCATTGTTTCGTGTTTCTAGAAGATTCCAGAAGCAATTTTTTTGGGGGAGTTGCCATATATTCTTCCCTGGATTGGTTGAAGGCAAGGACCATCATGGGCGTGTTTCAGTTGTCGGCATTTGATGATTCTTTTGTTCTTTTTTTAGTGATCTGTTCCGTTCATCTTCAGTTGGATGGCTCCATTTTGGCCGTTTCTTGTAACTCTATTTATGTGGTGTTGATATTACTAGATTATGTATTGTTCATTTCCAGTTCTCTTACAGTGTACAACATCATTTCCAATTCTCCAAGCATAAAACACTAATTTTCAGATGGGCCTTTCAAAACCTTGGCAATTATGAAGCAAGTCTAATTGGTAGGGATTTGTGCCTTGGGCTGAATTTTGGTACAACACCAAGTTTATTCCATTTGAGTTAGTTTATAGACGAGTTGCGCCCACGGTAGTTAGTTATCCCGTGGGGAAGTCTCTAAATCATCAAGTCCCGCTCTATTAGCTCTCGATCGACGGCCAAGCACAAAATTTGTGTCTACCAACGGCCATTTTAGTGCGGGTTTACATAGCCGATACACAATCTTCAACACCGACCCGTGACATGCCCAGAGCAAATCATTCCAAGGGAGCTCGGGTCTAGAATCGAGCTGTGAGAGCCCGATTCATGACCCATTTATCGATGTCAAATTAGTTGGCATAATGCAACCTACGAGTTAGGCAGGTATATCCATCATATTTTATAAACAAAAATACATGCATATACTTTGAAGGTCATACTTTATATATTGTATTATGAAATGCAGTTTTAATATTAAGTATACATCAATGTTGAAAAATATAATTGCCTAAATTCCTAATGATTATAACTGTAACAACTTTATAACGAAATGACTAATCATTAGAGACAATCACCAACTTAAAAAACAACAAAGCGGTTATAAGCTCAATAGCTTCTTACTTCATCCACTTCATCGATATAATAATCAAATTCTGAAAGACCCGCTCAACTGCAGAAACTAGTGTTGCCCTCCGGAATTGTGTTTTAAAATCAGAGAATTACTACAAAAATATCTCCTCACATGAAGCCTGAAGGTGAGATTCTTATAATCACTTCATTAAACTCGTTAAAAACTCTATTTTGGCACTGACCTCAGGAAAAAACACATGTTGATGAGTTAGAATAGTTCAGGAAAAAATGTCGATTTTCTGAAGGTTCAGTTGCCTTTGGATTCGTCCTAGCCTTGAATTTCAATTGCAGGCTGCATCATCACGTCACCTCAAGCATCAGCAACATATGCATACAATGGTCATATATTTTATTTTTTTCCAATTTTGGTGGCAGCACAATTATCCTCTGCTAAAAGAAAATAATTTTCGCCCAAAAGCTCTATGAAAAGATTTCAGAATCAATTTGCTGAATGTTGGGGAATATTTGTTTCAAAGTAGAGATATAGCTTGGAGAATTTGCCTGCAAAAGGTCAAAGAATTGTTAAAAAGGAATCTTTAGTACTTCAGAAAAATAGGGCAAGAGGGATTACAAGTGTATTTACACATCAGTATAAAATATATTTTTCAAGCAGTACATACACATGGATTGCGCTCGAGGTAAATGGTAGTGAGACTGTTCCTGGCACCAGCAACGGCTTCAGCTATGTTGTTCAGTGATGGTATTTGGTTGTCATTAAGCCAAAGATCTTCTAATCTGTAAGCCAAATAAATAAATAAATAAAAAAGGAAACAATTTCACCACACAGATACAGAGAAGATTAATGAAAGACATGGTAAAACTGATTTTGATCATACTTTGTCAAGTTCTCGATGTCATTTATTTCTGTGAGCTTGTTAGATGCCACATCCAGGACCCGTAGGTTGACTAAAGAAGATAAGCCTTCCATTTTCGCAATTCCATTATGGCTCAAGTATAATTCTTCTAGTGCAACACATTCCTGCATATCATGAGAAGATAAGGCAAATAACGGGAAACAATATTTAAGGTATAGAATATATCCATTATGGAAAGCGAATTTGAAGGAATGGTTGCATAACACACATTCAAGCACATGTCCACGCTTAGCTTACCTCAACTCCAGCAATTGAAGTCAAACGGTTGCTTTGAAGGCTGAGCTTCTTAATACCTTTTAACCCGCAAAGGTTAATGGCTCGGATACGATTGCGCCCGAGCCACAGTTCTTGCAAGGATGATAAATTTTGCAGATTCTCCATCACCTGATGATTCAAACTAAGTTCATAAGTAGATACACAGTCCCCAAGACAAATATAAATCACTGTTCCATATATAAAAAAAATTGTCAGCTATTTGAGGCACAATCAGCTTTTAAATTCAGGCTCTCGTGTTCATACAGTTCAGCAACAAATGGTTTGCTAAATGCTATAGAAAGAGGCATACTATAATGGTTTATCTAAATTTTAAGAATTTCATATTCTCTGACCACCAGGAAGGATATAATCAGTTCACTTTCTAATGATGACGATAGGACGCGCAAGGGAAGGGTGCAAAATAGCTAACTGATGACATAGCCGAACCCGTAATTTGTTCGATCCAAGCTCGAGAATCTGCAGCTCAGAGAAGTGCTCAATCTCTTCTATCTTTGCCACTTCATTTTTCGACACGTAAAGCTCTTTAAGCGTGTTTGCCACCTTGGATAGCCCACTAAGTGAAGAGATCTCATTAAATGAGACATCGAAGACCAGGAGCATTCTGAATATGGTAACATCTGGAATTTTCTTCAACTGATTATCCCTCAACACTAGCTCCTGTTGAAAACAAATAGACCATTGATACTTGGACAACGATAGAAAATTAGTGTTTTAGTAAGACCCTTCACCACAGAATGTCAGCAGACAACCTCAAAACCGGCAAATTATAACAATAAAAAGAGCCACAAAGACAATGCATAACCGGTTGATTCTGCTAAATATTTGAATGATTTATAAAGCCAACATTTTTCCTAGCCCATCCTTTTGAAGCAATGGTCGGATAAAGTCGCTACTGCTTTGAACATAAAAAAATATGCTTTTCAGGAAAGAATGTGCTTCTGGAAACATACTGGACAAGCACACAAATAAATATAGAAGTAACATAAATAATTCGAACCACAAGCTACATTTCAGTCTGGGACAAACAGAAAGAAGTTCTTATATAGTAGCTTATCACAGTAAATCTTAACAAAACAGTGAAAATGCAGACGCCCAGCAACCTTTTGGGAAACACTTCTTTCCAACTAAACAGGTGGTTTAGATTGATATAAACCATTCAGAATACTTACAGGCATTCCTCAATCCAAATTCCAACTGAATATTCTAGAGATTCAGACATAACCTTGGTCATAATGCATTTTCACCAATATACTCTCTAAAAACTATGTCGAACCACCTAAACTAACTAAATTTTGTTAGTAGTCACTGTCACGATATTATTATGATAGTACGAGTTCAGTTACTCTTCTATTTTACAAAGTTGAGCATTTCAATATCTGGTTATAGCTGGGTATCCTCAAGTCTGCATCTATGTGTGGTAATTCAAATGTGACGGTTATCATCAGATATATATGAATTGTACATATATATTTAGAAAGCTATATGAGTCATTTTTGGAATAAAAACAATGATTCCACGAATGCGTCAATTAGGTAAAAGAATATCTCGCTTGTGGAAATTGATAAGCTCGTTTACTTTATTTATATATTTCCTTATTACTATTACATTTTATAACACAAATCCTTTGTATGGTCTTTATTAGAAGCCCAACATCCAGATTCATACAGCAAAGTACAACTAAATAATTGGAGGTAATCATACAATTTCTACATGCTTGGGCCTTGAGGATTATACACATGTCTTGAATGAGCATTGAGAACACTAAAAGTTTGCTTCCTTATGCAGCTCAAGTATTTTCCACTAACAAAGCTCTCGGATTTGATTCAAACTTCAGAAAGATAAATTTTTTTATAATCGTTTAAAATGAGGATAAAACACATATTCAAGCTAAATCGTGAAACAACTAATAAGTAATCATTATTCATTACATTGATTCCTAATATACTAATCCAAAGCAACAAACTAAAACAACCCCCAAGACATGTACGAGAAACTAAACAAACACTCAGATAAACGAATTCAAGAGAATAATCAAAATTTAAAAAGGAAACGAAAAAAATAAGAAAAATGAATGAATACCTGGAGAGCGGAGATAGAATGCGACGTGGACAGAGGGAGGACGCCTTCATCGTTGAGGAGGTTCTGACGCAGAGAGAGCTTCTTGAGATTGGAGAGCTGTGAAATACGGAGGTCTAACGCCGTCAACCGGTTTGCTGTCAGGTCCAGCTCCGTCAGAGTAGGCGGTAGCTCGACCGAGCCAAGATCCCGCAGCTGACAGCCCGTCAGGTCGAGGACCGTCGAGTCGGCGTCGTTCTCTGCCGGTGGATCGTCGTGGTCGGCAGCTGTGGTCGATGAGTCCATAATTTTACAAGATAATGATTGATTCGAGACGAAAACCTTTGGGTTTGGTTGTTTTGGAAGTTTTGTTTGCTTCCATAAATATGCAGCTGCACGGTGCACCCAATTTAAGTTTGGAATGATAATATAAAAATTATATGTTGTATTCATTTGATAATTGGGAAAAAAAAGTGGGTGATTTATTTAAAAAAAAAAATTGAAAAATAAGTGGACAAAAAAAAAAAAAAAAAGGTGGGTGGACTGAAATAGAAAGCCCGTATTTAGCAAATACGTTTTTCTAATTTTTTTTTTAACGAAAAACGTATTTCGTAAATACGTCTTTAAATTAAATTTGTTTACTTTTTTAAAAAACATATTGCCGGAAAAATGTATATACAATTTAATTATAAAACGTATTCACCAAATACGTTTTACAGAAAACCCCAAATTTAAATTGGAAACCCTAAAACCTAAATAAATCAATTTTTGTTTTATAAAAAAAATCAATTTTCGTTTTATAAAACGTATTTCATAAATACGGTTTTTAATATTAATTAATTTTTAACAAATTAAATTAAAATAAAACGTATAAAAGAAATACGTTTTTGAATTAAATAAAACTATAAAACGTATTTAATAAATACGGTTTTTAAGAAAATATAAGTAAAAAAAAACCTGGTTCTCTCCTCCATTTCCATTTCCATTTCCATTCGTCATCTGCGCCTGCGAGCTGGAAAAAAAAATTCAGTTACCTCAAAATTAAAAAAAAAAAGCTTTTAATAATCAATCGATTCGGAGAAGAGGTTAGTTGTTATTTTAATATAATATAATTACATATTTTTTTTTGTTTATGAATTTGTAAGAAATATTTGTTGGTTTTTTATGAGTATAGTTTAGAAAAGATTTATTGTTGATTTAATAGTTGTGTTAAATGATTATACATTGTTCTTTGATGATGGATTTCGGTGTATGTTGGCAATTATTTCGAAAATTGGATGATTTGTATTGTATTG